GCTCAGTAGACTGTGACCCTTGTCTCTAGAGAGAGAAGGGTTAAGTGGAGGGTCACAGTGAGCCTCTGAGGCTAGCGAAATCCGCTAGGAAACACGGGACCCACGGAGGCAAGGACAGAGCTTTGTCACAGTACGTTGACTTCAGCTACGTAACTTAGATCGATTTCCCCCCCTCCCCCAGTAGTATAGACCAGCCCTAAGCAAAATAATCATACATGCTTGGAGAGGAGTAAAGAGCGTGTGTTTGGATTGTCAGTAAATCTCTCTTCGGACACGAGCCATGTATCACTGAAGGCTACCCCAGCATGGGAATAGGTATTTCTGCATCTGAAATATAAAGGATATTTATTCCACTGATTTACTTTTGATAGGGACCTCTGAGCCTTTGAGACAGTGTGCTAATGATTGTCTCAGTTCTTGATTCAGGCACCGGGGTTGTTAGCCCATCAAAGGCATTGGGAGGCGTCTCCTGTGACAGTTTTGAGTTTAGCTCTTCTGTCAGATTTTCTTCTTCCCCTCAAACAGAACTGGCTTCACAGCAATGGCAGTGTTTTATATCTCCGTCACATTTTTTGCTATAGTTACAGTTGATGCATTTTGCTTGAAGCAGAGTTGAGCTCAGTCCAGGCTCTCTCCTTCTCGCTTTTGTTGCAACTGCTGTGCCATGGCAGTCTGCCATTTTTCTAAACTCAGTATTCACACACAGACCTTTCTGCAGGACAGGAATGGCCAGGATTATGCATGTTTGCAGTGTGTCCTTGGTAGCAAGGAATTACTTACAATGCAAGGGGGATTCTTTCAACTGTGAGCAATGTGCCTATTGAGCTGTACCTTGGTCCCCATCCAAAGAGACAGATTTTTGTAAATAGGAGGCAAATCAATAGTTTGGGTTTTTTGTTTTTAACACAGATTCTTTTTATATGTAAATCATTCTTATTTTTCTATATTTTTAGCAAACTTTTGTCCTGTGTGCTTTACTGAATGAAAAGTATTGTATAAAACACAAACTACCAATATAAATTCAATGCTATCCTGGACATGTTATTACAACCAATTGTATCACGGTGGAAGAATATACGGAGTTGCATAAACATTTCTTTTTTTTAAATAGTACCAAATTTATTTCTGAGGTAGCAGTTTCCGATATCGACTTTGGTCTCCTGTCAGCAAAAGGGATGTGTTCACACTGAATCTCAAACAACAATCTCAAACAATTTACTTTAATCTGAGAAGCAGATTAACTTTTTTTTTTTAAATTTGATTTATTTTAGCTCCCAACCACTTAATTATTGGTGTGAGTGCTTCTGTCACTCCCAAAACAATTACCATGCAAATTTGGACTTTTTAAGAGTTGCCTTGTGATGGGGCGGACTGGGAATGAGAAGGTCAACCCTTCCCTGCTGGCAGAGGAAGCCACGCCCCTGAGGCTCTGCTGGGCATGCTCCAACAGAGAGTCAAGTATAAAAGCCTGCAGAGCTGCTCAGTCAGGGCTGGCGGCTGTGGAAGGAGGACACCCAGCAGAGGCTCCTGTTGCACCAATAAAATAAAAACCAGCAGGATCTTATTAAAGGGAAAAAGGCAAAATACCACATTTATTGTGAATATAGAAAGAATCATAGTAAGCAGTTAGTTACAGCTGTAACATTCCATTCAATCTCATATTTATTCACACATTCATTCATACACACACACACACACACACACAGGTTCTACAAGGTTGTTATCATAGTTACCAGCCTTAGAGTTGCTCATGCCAAACCACTGGCCAGGTGGCCTGGACATGAGGAGAGAGCAGGGCCTTGTCAGATACTCATCTGATGCTCCTGGAAGTTGGTTTGCAGAATCAGACCCCAAAGCTCTCACTTTTTAGAGTCTATTTTTATAGGAATTTCTTCCTATGCCAGTCTATGGGAATTGCTTCATCATGCTGTTGCTGAATCAATCAACAGATAGCACATTCCTGACGGCTCCAAGATGTTATCTTGTTCTTTGGTTCTCCCATTCTTGAGGCTGTTGGGTGGATTCCAGTCTGCCCTCCGGGGGGCGGGGGGTCCTCTGGTTATTTCCACTTGATGCCTTCTTCAGCCGATGGATACTGGATTCTTAGGCTGGCACCTCCCTGATCATTCAGTTATTATCCACACCAAGCATCCATCCACATACATCCTCTATCTCTATTTTAATCACAATTGTTAATACAACAAAAGGGCGGGGAGTCTCTGGGTGCTGTTTCTGTTGTTAGAGTATTGCTTTGAGTCTCTCTCTGTGTGAATTGCTTTGAGAACAGACTCTGTCTTAGAATGTACTAACACAATTAGCAGCTTGCAAGTTTCACACATAGAGGGAGAGAAACAGTACCAGAAACCAAGAGACCTCTTAATTAGTAATACGCTGGAATTTAAACTCTGGGGAATCAAACTCATTTGTGATTTTAATACAGAACTTCTTTAATATGATCCAACACTCCAGCCCAGGAGCAGTGGCGACTTGTACAGGAGAGAGCCAAGGGGCCAGGAAGTGGGACCAGAGACTGGCAGCTGTGGGAACCCTAGGGAGCCCCAGGGGCTGAGGAACCTGAAGACACTGATGCCACAGGGACTGCTACATTTGGAGAACTGGTAGAAAGTGACCCAAGGAAGGGAAGGGAGTGGTATCTCCCACCACTCTGAGGGCAGCGTGTTGCAGTAGGATTCCCCGCTGACCCGGGGCAGATCACGCTGTCAATGACAGGGCCCTGAGTTGGAGCCCGGTGAAGGCGGGTGGGCCCAGGCTCCCCTACTGGGGGTCTCTAACCCCCCCCCTTTTTTTGTGACAACATAGTTCACCAACCCCTCTCTTACCTCAAAGGAGATAGATGAACTCCGGCTGCTGGGCTGAACTATCCTACAAGGGGAAGAGGACTTAGAGGGATTCTGGCCCTCAGGCCACACCACTTTAGGAGCTCCCTATAGAGACTCCGGCCGCTAGGCCACGCTATCCCACCAGAGGAAGAGAGTTTCGGGAGACTCTGGCCATTGGGCCGTGTTGCTTTAGGAGCGCACTATGGGGACTCCGGCTGCTATGCCGCGCTATCCCACCAGGGGAAGAAGATTTAGAGGGACTCTGGCCACTGGGCCATATAGCCCTGACTACCGGGGAGGTTGTAGAACTGGCGTAGAAGCCGGGAGGCGGGGTTAACCTCGCCCCCCCTGGAATCAAAGGGGTTGACAAGGTACAAAACCCCCCACATACCTCATACAATGATTGGTTTCTGTTGGGACCAAATTCCCAGGAATATCACCCTCCCGGGGGCTCATTTTATGGCAGTAATTTAGGAACATGGTAGGCCCATGAGATGGGCCAAGTAAGGCAAGGCTGGTTGATGAACAAACAAGCCATAAGTCTGTGATTTAAAAATAAATGAAGCAAAATTCCACAGTCAGAATTTGTTATATTAAATTAAATGTTTTCTTGCAGCCAGGGCTTCAAGATAAGAAACTGAGCTCCTAGAGTAGTCCAGAACAGGCTCAGAGAGACACAAATACTCACTCATAGTACATTCACTCTGCAACCAACAGCCTTCGCTAACTGCAATTCTAACAAACATCTCAAGATCAAAGGCTACCAGATCCTTACTTTGAACATATCTGCTCTCTAAATACTGGGATCCTGGTCATTTTCTAGATTTATAGATTCTCAGACTAGAAGGGACGATTGTGATCATCCAGTTTGACCTACTGTATAACACAGGCCACAGAACTTCCCCAAAAATAATGCCTAGATTTTAAATCAAGATTGATTTAAAAATTGTCTGATGGAAAATCCACAACGGTGCTTGGTAAATTGTTCCAAATTCTGGATACAGCCTGAAAGATTCTTAATAAACCGGACAGGGCAGCACAAACAGTGTACAGAGTATTTTAAGGTCAGAGTTAAGGGTGATTGGGTACCTCAGTTCTGCCTTTCCATGCTTCATTTTATTTATCTTGATGTAGAGTTTCCTGGTCCTCTAACATTTGTTGTTTGTAAAGCCACAAAGTTCTAATCCGGTTTAGTTTGAGTAAGGCATTGATACAATCTCACTGCTTTATCTCTAGATTAACTTTTCTTTTTAGGGAGGGTCTGTGATTCTTAAATTCTTATAGAAATTACAAGAAATAATCTGTGACACCTTGATATTCCAACATTTCTGAGTTTAGAAGCATTTACTAAGTGTGTTGGACCCATCAATGCACATTACTGGTCTCTTGATTTGGAACTTTTGAGTTTTGTATGTGCGTACATCTGCATCTAGCAGGCTTTGGGTTCTGGCAGAGATTGTAAAGTATGTCTAGGGAAACTTCTATAGTTTGCTGGTACAGCTTGCAAAATCCTGTCCCTAGGGCCAATGATTTAGCACTGCATTAACCCAGGTGCTTTGTGTATATTACTTTCAAGAGGAGCAGAAATCTATATTAAATTGTTGATACGAGTTTACATCTCTACCTCCATTTTCATGAAGGTGTATGTTTGGTAATTCGGATTAGACTCTGGAAGTGGGTGGGTGGGTGTACACCATTCAAAATTGCTTTTTAAAAAAAGGTGAAAATTCAAATAAGTAGATATAGCCGTTCATGAGGCCTTTGCACGTGGAGGTGGGCTATGGGAGATCTGCCAGTGATTTGGTTCAAGCACATACAGTGAAGTCCGTTACTGAAAGCCATAGAAACAAAGGTCTTATACTAGTTTGTATATATTCTCTGGAATACTTTACTAGCTCATATTAATACTGAACAATAACTGAGTGGAAAATATTTATGGATTAAAACTTATAAACAAATTCTCAAACTGAGCCAAGCATCAGCTCCACAATTCTGAAAATTTAATTTTTGTATTATTTGGCTACTCTTTGATTTCAGTGAAAGAGACAAAGCAAGGGTTCTGTTATGCACTGAAGAAGGTATGCACATTTTAAAGTGTGGCACTTATCCTAGCCATGATTGATCGGCCCCCTGTTTTGACATCCATATATTTCTGCCCAGAATGACAAAACTCCCAAAAAGATGATGAAAGATGACACCGGGAAGAAGAGGAACAACAAATCATCATTTAGTGATGAAGACAAGGAAGATGCAATGAAACAGGCCCTGCTAGAACAGGTAATTCCAGTATGATGTTTGCAGATAACTTAAACTACTCTGTGTAATAATTCCATAGAGTTAGAACATTTGGATTGCCAGAACCCAAAGAGCTCTCCATTGTTATCCACATGGCCTGATGGCGGCTTCTCTGGTTGCAGGGCTTATTCATTCCTTTGGCTGATAAAGGAGTTGATGCTGATGTTAATGCCCATTTTACCCTTACGTGGTATTCCATTAATTTCAGTGACATTGCTCTTAAAAATTGGACCCAATGATCCAGTTCTTGTATAAAAACTTTCCTCAAAAAGGCACTTCTGGTACCTATATTACTAAGGCGAAGGCAAACAGGAAGACACATGGGAATTGAGGTAGCTGTAATTACCAGTACACTTAATGGGAGAGTCAGGTTGCTCTTACAACAGAATTTTTTTTTTTATAGCAGCTTGCAGATAAATGGGTAGTACATCTTATTAGCTATTTGTAAGCAGATTAGAATTCTCATCTTTAGAATTAAATTAGATTAGAATTAGAAACATCAAACTGAAAGTTTAGCTAAAGTAAACATTATATAGACAATATTTGTGAATGTTCATTTCATAATGTGGCAGTTGCCAGGTACCACCTTATGTCGTGTAATGTAAGGCAATTTTTCTTCTTGGAGTGGTTGCTCATATCTATTGCACAGTAGGTGCTAATAAGATGTACTACCATGTGCACTGGTGTCGGAAGTTTTCCCCCTAGAAGTACCTGTAGGGGGAGTGCCCCTAGCCACCCGTGGAGTGGCACCTCCATGGCGCAGTATAAGGGGCGCTGCACGCTCCCCCCCCCCACCCTCAGTTCCTTCTTGCGGCCAGTGAAGGTGCTTCGGAACTGCTCTGCTCCAGCTTTGCTGCAGCTCGTCCCCAGAACTCTTGTTAGGTCAGTGTATGGTACCTGTAGTTAGTAGTTGTTAGTTAGTGCGCTTGGGCCGGGGCATGCCCCACGCCTGGGTTTTAAGTTGTGGAACACTTGTAGGCGACCGATGCCAGTGAGTGATCCGTACACAGACTGTTTACACTGGGTGAAACCCATCTCAGCTATCACTGCAAGATTTGCAAGTCGTTTAAGCCTTGGACCGAGAGAGAGAGAAACATTAGGCTCTGGGCCGTCCTGATGGAGTCAGCATTGACCCCGACGTTGTGGGTTGTTACATCATATCACCATACAACTATGATGCTATATAAAGTTCTTTGGGAACTTGGCAATCCAAACATAACTCTGTTGTCAGGGTCCAAAACAGTTTATTTAGAAAAGCAGGCACCCTTACTTTCTTAGCTGCCATTGAGTAAAGCACGGATATCTACTGAAAATGGATTTGGGGCCTGGCAGCTTACTGAGGCACTGATCACAGAAATTCTTCTGCTGGGGCAGGGGTGAAATGGATGACAATATGCTCCTCTTGGGCCAGTGGGAACCTGGTAGTATTGAACCAGACCATAGTCAACAGCACCATCTGCTGGGAACTCACTATAATACTTTGAGATTATTTCAGTTATTCTTCAATATATTAACCTAAGAATATTTATATTCTATCTGTAAATATGCAGAGTGTTATCAGTATAATAGTGGGTGGTATATTGGCACTTTGAATACACAGAGAAGTGAACAAAATAATTCAGACTTAAGTTCCTTCTAATTTAGAATTAAGAACACCGGGTCATAGAAGATAGAGAAAGAAAAGACCTGGTAGATTCACCTGTCACCAAACAAATGCAGCATATCGTTCCCAGATATGTCAGACATAAAACTGATATTGCACATGCATTTAGCTCAAAGACACAAGAAAGCACTGGCTATTGTATTGTATGATACTTATGCACTTCCAGCTTTAAGTATTGAACGGTACATTGGATATAAGTTTATTACTAGTGTTCAAATGACTTACTATGTAATACACAGTGGACCCAAATTTTTAAAGGCGTTTTGAGATTTGTGTATAAAGTATGTGTACAATTGTGCTCTTACATTTGCATGCACAATTGTTGGGATTTGTATGTACAGTAGAACCTCAGAGTTACGTAACACCAGAGTTATGAACTGACTGGTCAACCACACACCTCATTTGGAAGTACGCAAACAGGCAGCAGCAGAGAGAGAGACGCACAAAAAGTAAAAACAACAGGGAGTCCGGTGGCACCTTAAAGACTAACTGATTTATTTGGGCATAAGCTTTCGTGGGTAAAAAACCCACTCTTTCAGATGCATCACGAAAGCTTATGCCCAAATAAATCGGTTAGTCTTTAAGGTGCCACCGGACTTCCTGTTGTTTTTGTGGATACAGACTAACACAGCTACCCCCTGATACTGGACACCAGAAAAACAAATACAGTACAGTACTGTGTTAAACGTAAACTACTAAAAAAAGCCTGTTTCTGTGCTGGTTTCATTTAAAATTAAGATGGTTAAAAATGGTATTTTTCTTCTTCTTCATAGTAAAGTTTCAAAGCTGTATTAAGTCAATGTTCAGTTGCAAACTTTTGAAAGAACGACCATGACGTTTTGTTCAGAGTTACGAACATTTCAGAGTTATGAACAACCTCCGTTCCCAAGGTGTTTATAACTCTGAGGTTCTACTGTAATTAGTATTGAACATACAGTCATAGTAATTGCATGTATAAACGTAGGTGTGCAGTTTTGCTCATGGATTTTTCAGCCATCTTTCATTATAAACCTGACCCCGAAGGGCCTGTTCTTGAGCTACTGAAGTTGATGGCAAGACTCATTGACTTCACTGGCACAGAACTGGGCCCTAAGTATACTACTGGATAGTATTCTAGGTACCAGAATACTTACTGTATTCTTTAATACAATGTTGTAGATGCAAGCTTGGCTGAGAGAGAATTCTGGTACCTGAATTATCCATTATTTAATTTCACGATATCATTCAAGGAGACCTTCTAATTGTCTGATAAGTGCTAGCCATATAGGACCTGTATGTGCAATGTGACTTAGCTGACAAACTCAACAGTTGATGGCAACAGTTGATGGCAAGTCACTTTTTTCCATACACAGTATGCTCTCTTTTTATGAGGTATTCCGTATAGTGACTTGCTGGCACTTTGATTTTCATTTGAAAAAAAAAAATCTGACTCATACCTAGAGCATCCAAATAATGAGTGTTTCAAGCGCAGCCCTGTAAGTCCCGGCAGTCAATTGATTTGAATGAAAGTTCTACTAAAACTTTTCCCAAGAAGCCCAAAAGATCCTGGAGTAAGGAAGTATTTTAAAAAGTGTTAACTCGCATGCCCTGTCTTATGTCCATTTCCTTAGCTGTATTTTATCATCATAAGAAATTCCTAAATATTTCAAAGATCTTTGTCTTTCATTCTGTCTCTCCCCACCCACCTTTAATTTAAAGACTCTATAAAGCAAGTAAGGATACACAAAACAACTATTAAAATAGCAAAGGGCTTTTTATTGTTTTTAGTAAGATTTTTCCAGATAGTCTCCAGAATGAGCCTAAACTGAAACTGCTTATAAAAAACAAACAACCCCCCCCCCCCCAAACTTGTGACTTGTTCTCTTTTTCTTCTCCATTCTCTTGGTTTTATTTGTCACATCAAAAGCTTCTTTAAAAGAGCATGATTACAGGTGTCTCTTTCTCTCTGATGCTTTGTGAAGCTAGTCACTCTGAAGATGTCTTATGACAGGAATCATTGCTGAATGTTGGTGCCTGCGCCTTAATCCAGGTACTGCATAAAAAAAGATGCTTAGATATGTGGATTAGAATTCATCCACTGCTGGAGGGTTGTGGAGGCGAAATGTGAAGTCAGCCCCTTCCAGTCAGCACTGCAGAATATGCTTCTCTGTTTTCACAGCAGCAATCGCCCCTCTTTCTGCTGAACTATTTCTCAGCCTTCTAGGAATGTTTCATCAAAAGCTTTGACAGGTTTTAAATACAGTAAAAGTTGTGTTATCAGACCCTGTACCAACTGGAAGGCTCTATAAACTGGCATTTTTAATCTTCATAGAAAGTTCGGTTTATAGTCTAGTTGGCATGGGGCTGGCAGGTTCCCAGCCTGGCTCCTCTTGGCTCCCCAGAAGCGGCAACGTATCTCTACTGTTCCTAGGTGGAAGTGCAGCTAGGCAGCTCTGTGCGCTGCGTCCGCTGCAAGCGCTGCCCTCGCATCTCCTATTGGCTGCAGTTCCCAGCCAATGGGAGCTGCAGAGCCAGCAGTCTGGGTGGGGGCAGCATGCAGAGCTGCCTAAGAGCAGCAGGGACAGGTCGCCACTTGCGGGGAGCCGCCCAAGGGGAGCACCCCCCGGATCCGGCACCTCAACCCCCTGCCCCAAGCCCCCTCCCATACCCAAACTCCCAACCCTGCACCCAAACTCCTTTCCTCTTAGTTGACTGGAATTTTTCACTTACCAACATCCCCCATTCCTCCAACATGCAGGATAAAAAAGCGTTTATTGTAATTGTTTAAACTACAATGGTGGTGCTGCTGCAGTCACTTCATAACTTCCTTGTCTTTTTCTTCCATCTTTCCAGGAGTTCTAGGGCCCAGGAGCCTTCTTTTCCTCCTTGCTTTCAAATGAGGACTGAATATAACTTCTAGTGGTGCCTACCAGCTTACTTCAGGGACCAAATTCTGTGCTGATTTACATCCTGTTGAAATCAGTGGGATTGCACAGGATTTCAGTGCAGAATTGGAAGAGCCAATGCCTCTGCTAGAGGGGATTGCAGAGAGAAATACTATCGATACAGCCATTAGATGAGAAGGACATGTTCTCGTCACCCCCCTCCCAACTTCTTCTTTCCTGTTGATATCCACCTAAACACAATCTCAAGTATCATCCCTCCCTCACAGCAGATGGATGCCCATAATGACTTCTTTGCGAGCAATGCAAGATGTTCTCTCCTTCACTCCCAGTCCCTCCTCATCTAGGAGTTAGGGATCCCACTCAGCACATGGATTCTGACTCCATTCCCTGTTTGTAGTGTTTCTGATGTCTGTACTTAGAACAGAAATGAGTAGAGCTGGTTGGAAAATGCAGATTTGTTGAAAGTGAATTTGAATGTCATTCTGAAACGCTGCATTTTAACCTTTTTGGAATGGGGCATTTTTGATTTTTCTGTTTCAAAATGACTGATTTTTTTTTATAAAATGAGACAAGTCCACACTGGGATGATCAAAACATTGTTTCACATTGCAGGGGTTTTTTGAAAATTTGATTAATGGGAAATCTCAAAAAAAAAAAAAAAGCTTCATTCTGTTCCAGAACGGAAAAAAATTCAAAATTGCAAAACTCTTTCTCCGAAGCAAAAAATCTGGTTCCTGCACAACTCTACAAGTGAGCCTATATTCTGATCAGGAAAGTCCATGTCCAGTTATTTTGGAAATGGAAGTGGTTAGTGTAAAGGTGGAAAGAAAATACACATTTAACAAAAAATAAACAAACCCAAACCCCAAATTCATGTGGATATTTTCTTCCAGCGCCATCTTGAAAACTACAAAAATCTATACAGGCTGAGAAATGCCATGTATGTGCGTTACAGGGATTTGTTGAACAAGAAAGTTCAAAAGCAACGAATTCAGATCCAAATGTCTGATCTCAACTTCAAGCAAACTCTTGAACAGCAAGGAAGAAAAAAGGTATGAATTTTTATTTTGAGGGAAAAGAAGGGGGATTTGTCTACTGAAAATATAGGCAAATGTTTAGAAAGAAATATAAGGCTTGACTGGAAAATTTAAGAGATTTTTTTCCCCATACCGTTTTGAAATTGTAGGAGTTGTCTTTTCTAATATTAATATGCAGGGTTTATGTGAATAACACCCATTAGCATTAATACAATTTAACTATAAATCCCCTCCTTTCATGGGAGGGTGGGCAAGTTGGTCTGTTGGTGGGGAATTATTGAAAGTTTCAAACTCAGGATTTTCTCCTGGAAAGTGAGCTTGTTGCAAGAAGAAAAATGACTGATTAAACTGGAAAATGTTCTTAAGAACACAGTGAGATTAAAAATAATCCTCTTTTAAAAAAAGTCCTTGCCTGAGTCACTAATAATTATTGATGAGTAAAGACAAAAGATTCTTAGAAAGCTGGCTTAGTTTTCACCATTTTTGGTGTATGAAAACAAATTAGTGCATTTCACTTTTTCTTTCAGTAAGTCACTTGCTAGAATGTATTGATATTTAATTAAATCCATTAAATGTTAGCTTTTATAAAGCACCCTCCTCGCCTCCCCCCTGTTTTATGTAAAAACTAAAATTTGGACTTTACTTTAAAGCAACACTGCCAGGTAGTTTAATGGATGCTGAATCCCTAGCACAATCACCTACTGTGCTTTTAATCTTCTTATTCTTTAATGTGGAACACAAGCCACAAAAGTAAGGCTGTGTCTATTCTGAGCTTACACGTTAATTACTCTGGAGCTCTCCCTGTTGGTACCACCAGTGGAGCTGAACTGGTGATGATGCAAGAATGGGACATTCTAAGAGAGAGGTCCGTGTAGATAAGGCTAAAAAGTGTGTATTTGAATAGGCTAGTACTATAAAATCCAAGTATAGGACAGCCACTTTCAGAGGAAATTAGGACTAAAATATTTTAAGAAATATCAAAATGTTTAAAACAAATTTATTTTTCTAATGTAGCAATCACAAAATTCTGATTTGTGGAAAAAACAAATGATCTCCTTGCTCTCCTATGACACCTGAAATAAAACAGATGTAAACTGAAATGAGGAGGATGGTCCCTTATGATGCTGGAAGACTTGAGAGAGATGCGTAAATTTTTGGGATCACTGGGAAATGTAATATCTGTGTGTGACTTACTCTTCTTTGAGAATTGCCTCTGTGCATTCGCACTTGTGGGATATTGTGTTCTTGGTGTTGAGCTGTGGAACTGCCTTGAAAAGCTGTGTGTGTTGATGGGGGGAGGATTGCGCAAAAGAGATCTTGCGTGAAGTTGAACTTCTTGCCCTATTCTGCAAAGGGAATGCGCCTCCCTACCTGTGGAGTCCTGACATTATATAGGATTCCAAAACAGAGGGGAAGGCGGGCGTGTACTATGAATGCATGGAGGTGACTTTTGAAGAGCAACAGTTACTGTTAAGTACTCTCTCTCATTTCCAAAGTCATTCAAAAGAAAAGAGGACAATGCATGTGAACCAATAAAATCACTTTTCAGGCCCTCACGTAGTCATTAAAGGTACGCACATTTCTTATCCTTTGTAGGTTATGTGCAACTTTTTTTTTTTTTTTGCTTCTTTATAACATTTGAGCACCTAAAATTCAGTTCTGCAGATGGTTTAACACAACATCTGACAACCCAAACCTATAGCGTCTGTTTGTGCTCAAGATTTATTGGTAACTCAAGGGGATACATTTTAGACAGCAGTTTTCTTATGCTTAAAGATCTTGTATGTTGCAAAGACTTTAAAAAAAAATCCCTATGATGTAATACTGAGGGATAATAAAAAATCAACAATAATCCAACAAATCCAAACCCCAGAAAGAGTGGTCATTTTGGACTTTGCCTTATTTGTGGACTGTGTGTTAAAGTAAACACCTGCTTATGCAGTACAAACCCAGTGGTCTTTCCTTTGCAGATGACTTTAAAGGCTATGTATGTTGGGTCCTCAACACTTGCTTAGGCACCTACATAAATGGCCTGTCTTTCAAAAGTGTTGAGGACCCAACAGCTTCTATTAAATTCAAATCAGTTATGCCAGCAGAGATTGTGCTGTGTGTTTTGTTAATGTAAGATTTACAATATCGTTAAGTATTCATGTCTTTGCATTTAAACACTTGGGTTTGTACATGTGAGAGCTAAAGACATTTTTGTCAATTAGCAAATTTAACTAGACTTTGAAACTAGGCAGAATTCTGTTGCAATGCCTAGAAATCACAGCTGGTCCACAAAAACCAGTTTCCATAGGTTGCAGCTCCCCAGATGTGGATACTGGGAATTTGCTACCCACTCATTGCTAATGGGGCTTCTTTCCTGGAGTCCCCATCAGCAGTGCTTGTGGATCTGTGAGAGGTTGTTGGGAGGACTTACATTCCTCTTCTGATTTTAAAAATAAATAAATAGTAGCTATCCCCCTGAATCTTCACTGCTGAGCATGTCATTTTCACCTTAAGCACTAGAGAACACTGCTGCCTTAAACAGAAGACCAGTTTATTTCTCAAGGTTGCATGTCAAGCTGAGAAAGTGAAACTGGGGTGGCAAGTGAGTTCTGGATCTTGGTAATCCCTCAGAAGCTAGATGGGGAAGAAGAATTGTAGAAAGAGCATTTTTGAGCAGCTGTTTATCCTGCACTGATGAATCAGGCTCTGAAACCCACCTTCCTCCCTGGGCTTTAGAGCCCAAACTCTAGCCAGAGCCCAAATGTCTCCACAGCGGTTTACTGCTGTAGTGCGAGCTCTGAGACTCACTACTGAGGGTTTTAAAACACAGTGTAGACATACCTGCTTCTTTTATCAGTAAGGGGTCCACAGTCTAGCCTGTTATTTCACGTGTTGTAACACATGATGATGTGCAAATTGTGTTGTGCTGTGATGACAGTGCACTGGGCAGGGACTGTCTCTTGTGTGCTTGTGTGCTTGCAAGATCCTAGCACAGTGGGATCCTGGTTTATGATTGGGGTCCTGAGGCACCATTGCAATAAAATATAATTTAATAATAATTTTCAGGATAGCTGAATTATCCTACTAGCAGGATGTGGGAGTGTACTGGTGAAACTGGGATCCCAAAAAACTGAAACCAAGTGACAATGCTATGCTAGGAAATACAATGTTTTATTGTTGCATGTGAACTTGTAGCATTATTTATGCATAGGGTCCCTACCAAGTTGAAGTCAAAACAAGCAGGCAGCAGTGAGGTCCCCCCCGCCACCCTCCGTAACTGCATGATCACAAGCTTCATTAGATGGTGCTTGTATTAGGTCCGTTTGGTGTTAACAGGTTAAAACTGTGTGTGGGAATTTACGCTACTGTTCTTTCAAGACTATCTGGAGACAATAAAACAGACATGTTTATGAAATTGCAACCATTCTTACAGGAGCACATGACACTGTTACAGAAATATTCTGAGCAATTTAAACTATTTAATCAGAGGCTTAGATTTTCCTGTAACAGGTTGTCATATTGAGGTCCAAATTCTCTGCTAGTGTCAATGGGCACAGTGCCAGTGACTTCAGTGGAGTTTTTCCACAATAGGCCAGAGACTTTGGTCTTATTATTTTTGTTATTTCCTTCCTTTGACCCCAGCGCTCATTTATCAGCAATGAAAAATCATGAAACTGAAGTGATTTATACTAAAGCAGTGAATCCTGCGTCCTTTCATAGAATCATAGAACATCAGGGTTGGAAGGGACCTCAGGAGGTCATCTAGTCCAACCCCCTGCTTAAAGCAGGACCAATCCCCGATTTTTGCCCCAGATCCCAAATGGCCCCCTCAAGGATTGAACTCACAACCCTGAGTTTAGCAGGCCAATGCTCAAACCACCGAGCTATCCTTCCCCACCATCCTTCCAGCTTCCTGAATAGATAATCTTTAGGGCTTTCGATTAATCGCAGTTAACTCACGCCATTAACTAAAAAAAAATTAATCTGGACTAATTACAGTTTTAATTGCACTATTAAACTATTAATAGAATACTAATTGAAATTTATTAAATATTTTGGATGTGTTTTACATTTTCAAAGTATTGATTTCAATTACAACACAGAATACAAAGTGTACAGTGTTCACTTTATTATTTTTATTAATAAAAAATTGCATCCGATGAAGTGAGCTGTAGCTCACGAAAGCTTATGCTCAAATAAATTGGTTAGTCTCTAAGGTGCCACAAGTACTCCTTTTCTTTTTACTGTAAAAATGATAAAAGAAATATTTTTCCATTCACAGCATACAAGTACTGCAGTGCAATTCTTTATCATGAAAGTGCAACTTACAAATGTAGAAATATTTTTGTTACATAACTGCACTCAAAAACAAAACAATGTAAAACTTTAGAGCCTACAAATCCACTCAGCCCTATTTCTTGTTTAGCCAATCGCTAAGAGAAACATGTTTGTTTACATTTATGGGAGATAATACCTTCTGCTTTTTATTTACAATGTCATCTGAAAGTGAGAACAGGCGTTCGCGTGGCACTTTTTTAGCCAGCATTGCAAGGTACAGTATTTATGCTCCAGATATGCTAAACATTCGTATGCCCCTTCATTCTTCGGCCACCATTCCAGAGGACATGCTTCCATGCTGATGATGCTCATTAAATAAATAATGTGTTAATTAAATTTGTGACTGAACTCTTTTGCGGGGGGAGAATTGTATGTCTTCTGTTCTGTTTCACATGCATTCTGCCATATATTTCATGTTATAGCGGTCTTTTATGATGACCCAGCACATGTTCATTTTAAGAACACTTTCACTGCAGATTTGACAAAATGCAAAGCAGGTACCAGTGTGAGATTTCTAAAGATAACTACAGTCCTCAACCCAAAATTTAAGAATCTGAAGTGCCTTCCAAAATTGGAGGGGGCAAGGTGTGGAGCATGCTTTCAGAAGTCTTAAAAGAGCAACACTCTGATGCGGAAACTACAGAACCCAGAACCACCAAAAAAGAAAATCAATCTTCTGCTGGTGG